AAAAAAAAAAAAAAAAAAAAAAAATTATTGTCTGGGATCAAATAAAAAAGGCAAATTACTTGAAACCATATTTTGGGAGGTAATTTTATATTTGAAATTATCATTAAAGACATCAAATTATCTCATAAGAAAATAGCAATTATGGTAGAAATAAAATAATAGTGTTAATAGTATACTAAAGATAAATCATCTTGAAGTATCATAAGTAATATAGGTATTAGGTAAGAAATTAGTTCCAAACTAGGTATAGTGTTGTACACCTGTAATCCTAGCACTCTGGGTGGCTGAGGTAAGAAGACTATAAGTTCAAGCCCAGCCTGGGTGATGGTGGGAATGTAGCTCAGTGCAAAGGCCCTGGTTTCAATCACCAGTACTTAAAAAAGATTATGGATACCAAACATAGTCCCTATAATTGACTTTTAAAAGTAAATGTCATTTCAAGTTCTTTAGAAAAAATATTTGTTATGAAAGCCACATAAGAGATCTCCACTTAAGAGGGTAGAGGGTTTTCCAAAGAGTGTCTTGAATCTTTGGGATGGCATTACTGTGGCATTTATGGTAGGGCCTCAGTTAGTAAGACGATGGCCCATATCCTTCACTTCCTTAGCTCCCTGCCTTGTAGCTGTCAGTATCTGCTACTTCACCAAAGAGCCAGAGGGAAGATGAGCAGAGGAGTGTGAAGTGTGAAAAATGGTAGAGAGTTGAATTGAGACATGAAAAGTTAATGAAAGAGAAAGGAGGAGAAGGAACAGACACTTCAGAACTTAGCACAAGCTGGACTAAGTGCTTTACGTGTTAAATCATTAAATTATGGTAGTCAGCTAGAGGTTAAGAGTAACTGAGTTGACATAATAACCCTTTATATTTTGAAGAATTGCCGAGTATGGATTATTAAATGACAAGTGTTGCACTGTAATCTTTTATTTTTTCCCCCAGATTCAGTAGAACATCTTATGATGAGTGATTCATTTTGCTCGCTAGAAACATGGCAAGACATGGCAGATATATGTTCACAGAGTGGCTTTAACAAATTATCTAATGACATTATGTCCATTCTTCGATGTCAGCCTGGAGTTTCAGAAATTTCTGAAGAAGATGAAAAAGTGAACCCAATGGAACATGTTTTTTGGTAGTTCTGTATTTTAACCAGTTGAGGGAGCTTGTACAACATTGTGCGTATATTGGTTAAGCAAACTGGTTTTGGCATAATTACAAATAAAACCAGCATATAAATCTCTCAGAACTAAATAACACCAATTTTGTTATGATGATATTTAGGTTTGTCCTTGAAACATATTATTGCTTTCTTTTTCCAATATGGTCATTTCGTATATTGAATTTTGATAAAATCCAAATTTTAACTATAGTGTAAAAGTATATAGGCATTTTTAAGGGCATAAGCTAATGCCTAGATACATTCTTTTCTGGTAATTTAATTTGATGTCAAGAACTGAAGACCGGGCAATGGTGGGAATGTAGCTCAGTGCAGACGCCCTGGCTTCAGTCACCATTATTTAAAAAATATTATAGATATTATAGATATAGACAACAAGCATATTATTAGTACTTAAAATATTATACAGTACTTACATTACTTAAATATTACTTAAATTATTTCATAGTACTTAAAATATTATATTAGATTATAGATATAGACAGCAAGCACAGTATTTTGCCTGTAGGCTGACTACCCAAATAACAAATTCTACAAGCCTGCCTTGAGGAGAAAGATGTTATTTCAAGGGTAATCTACTGGCAAACCTAGAGTATGGTAATTTTTACTGACAATTTAAAGGTGTGTCCTACGCTTTGGCATCTATAAATATATATATATAACTGTTGTTCTGTTAATTTTGCCAAGGTTTAAAAATGTCTATCCATGGCTCATTAGTATTCCTTCTCATATCATTACCTAATGAAATTGTAATGAAATTGGAACTCTTGGCTTGTCCTATAGAGGAGGAACGAGCCAAATTTTGCAGAGTTTTACTTGGAATACCTCTAGGCATAGAAGTATGTCATAAAAATGATTTTTATTACTTCAAGTGTCTGAATAAGTGTTTGACTGAAAACTCAGAGTTCTGTGCCATTGACAGGTGTGATATCCAAAATATATTGTAAGTATGGCATGGGCATCAATCAAGCAGAACAGATACCCAATTAATCACAACAGCTTTCAGTCCTTATGTCACATCAGAACATATGAGCTGAATGTCAGCCTTGATAAGGGGAAAATTTAGCTGCTGTTAGATAGAAAAGGAGCAAAAAGCATACATTTTCCTTCCTAAATTTAAATTGAAAGTGAATTTTTTTTTATAGTGGAAAGAATATGAACTTGGAATCGGCCTTATACAAAAATTCCAGTGTAGTCTTTTACTTATTTGTGAAATATAGGTGGTAATATCTACCCTGAGTGTATGAAGATTACTGCTGATCTGTATGTGAAGTGTAAGTGTGTCACATAATGGAGGAATTTAGTAGAAGATGGCTGTTATTTCTATGTAGGAGGACACACAAACAAATACTCCTCTCCTTACTTTATACTTACAAAATCCTACAATTTTACTCATTTTGTGATATAGTTGTACTTACTTGGAGTATTTGGTATATTGGGTATAACTTACTGCCCAGATTAAGCTGTCTGTCTGAGCTCATATTATGTTTTTCTGGCATATATTATAAATCTGTAAGTATACTGGCTGAGATTAATTTTTCCATATAGGGTTAAACACAGTCCTTGATAGTTATAATTCAGTTTTCTAAAACTTGATATTTTTACTAAAGTAACACACATGCATAATTTAAAAGCCAATATATTGCTAAGATACTTATGATAACTATTAACATTTTTATTTCTAATTTTTAAAAAAGCAGATGAAGCATTAAAAAAAAAGAGAGGGTATTTAAGCAGCATTGATTCTTTATGTACCAATGGTTTCAAATCTTTTTTACTCTGAGACTGTATGATTGATAGAATGCTGCTATGGAGTTCATTAGCAGAACTTGGGTGGGGTCACTGAAAGCCAGTAGAACGAATTATATAAATAATCTAGAGAAAGCTTGAAACAACAGCTGTTATTCTGTTAATTTTGCCAAGGTTTAAAAATGTCTATCCATGGCTGATTACTATTCCTTTTCATATCATTACCTAAGGCAGCTTTTCCAAGGAAAGTGAAAATTGTCAAGTGAATATGAAGTAGAATGCATTGGGCCCAATTTAGCTCAGTGGTTCCACCACGTGCCTTGCAATTGCAAGGGCCCAAGTTCGAATGGCTGGAGTAGGAAGGAAGAACAGGAACATAAAGGCAAGTGGGGAAGTAGAAAGAATTGAGTTGTGAGCTACATAGGACTTGGTAGATGTAACAACCTTCCTGTAATCTACAGTGAAAGAAATATAACAAGGGCCCCTGGTCTGCAATACAGACCAGGCTTTCCACTATTGAGTTTTGTGTCCTTTTCCTCAAGCTTAAGATAAATTAATTTTGACTAGGTAATCCTTCTTGTCATTTCTAATTTTAAATTTCGGTAATTCTGAAAAGGTAGTAATTATTTCATAGTATTTCTTGACCATCTGCCTAAATTTGAAATACTAACATTCAACATCGGCATCGATGACGTATCCTAAATACCTATTTTGTATACAGCTTTTATAATTTCAGTGGGAAGACAGAATATCTTTTAAATTTTCTAGCAGTGATTCCCTAGTATCATTTGGGGATATATTCAAATTTCACCAGTTGCTTAAAAATGCTTCCTAACAATTTAGTTATTCTAACCAGGAACTAAACAATGTTCCTGAGTTCTATTTGGACTAATCTAGAGTATATCTTCTCTCCTATTTTTTTTTCTATTGCCATTGACTACATGAACTGGCTTGGTTGTTACTGGGAATCTTCCACATTCTGGATTTGCCTGATTACTTCCTTGTGGTACTATTTAACTTGCTCTTCTACTTCCTGGGTTTACTTTGAATGGAAATTAGTTCCAAAGGCTTAACTAGATTTAGGTTCAATTGTTTTAGCAAGGGTCCTCATAGTCATGCTGAAAACTGTGCATTCCTTCTTGTTATGAGGCACCAAATGTTTAACTATCTCATGCTAGTGGTTTGTAAGATAAAGTCCAAAGTTCTTAGTTGGACATGGTGGCACACATCTGTAATCCCAGCTCTTGGGAAGCTGAGCTTGGAGGGTGGCTGTGAGTTCGAGGCTAGCTTGGGCTGCATAATGAGTTCAAGGCCAGCCTGGACAGTATAGAGAGACCCTGTCTCAAAAGAACAGCAACAGCAAAAAAAGTCCAAATTCCTCGACATGACCCAAAACCCCTACATAATCAGGAATCCAACTGCCTCTTCAGCCTCACCTCCTACTATGTGCCTTAGTTTCTTTGAACTGGACACTTGCCCTCTTTTTGGTCATCTTATAAAGGAGTTTAAGATATGCTGTTTCTTCTACTTAGAAATCTGATTCCTTTCTTTTTACTTTAGATCTTAGCTTAATTAAAACTTCCTTAGAGGAGCCTTTTAGGGCTTCCTTAATCATCCCAATTTTCCCTTTTGTAAGCAGTCCTTTTTTGCATATCATCAGTGTAGTCAGGGAAGATATCTTTTATTTATGTAAAGGACAATACCTTTTGAGGGTGTGAGGAATGGGAGAGAGTTGCTATATTAGTTTGCTGTGACTGCTATAACAAAGTACTACAAACTGAGTGGCTTAACCAGCAGAAATTTATTGTTTCACACTTCTAGAGGCTAAAAGTCTTAAATCAAGGTATTGGCAGGATTGGTTCTGTATGGGTGCTCAAAGGGAAGAATCTGTTCCAAACCTCTCTCCTTGGCTTACAGATGGATATTTCCATGTATCTTTATATCATCCTTCCTTTATCTATGTCTAAATTTCCACTTCATATAAGTACCTCAGTTATATTAGATTAGAGTTTATCTGAATGAGCTCATTTTAATTTGACCTTATCTTCAAATAAGGTCATGTTCTAATGTACCATGGAATGGACTTCACCATATGAATTTTGGGAGGACAAACTTCAACACATAACAGTTACCATTATATCACCAAAATAAAACATAGTACTGGGCACAAAATAAATGCTTAGTAAATAGTTCCTAAATTAATAAATATTAAACTTGATCTAGTATTTTTCATATTTAAAGCCAATCTTATGAATTAACTTTACTCTTGCTTTTTGGGTAAATTTTATTGGTAAGAAAAAATACATATACACATTTATACTGTATGTTCTGAAAAATGCACAAATTATAAATGTAGAGCTCAATGATTTTCATGAAGTGAGCATATCTGTGTAATCAACTCTCAGGTAAAGAAATGGAACAGTGCTGAGCCAGGCATGGTAGCACATGACGGTAATTCCAGCTACTTGGGAGGCTGAGGCACAAGGATTACAAGTTCAAGGCCACCCTGGGGAGTTTAGCAAGTGCAGTCTCAAAAAATAAAAAGGGCTAGGAATGTAACTCAGTGTTCCCTAAATTCAATCCCTAATATTGCAAAAAGCAAAATAAAGATGTAGAACACCCCTGAAATGTTCCAGGCTTAGTATCCCCTCCCAGAAGTAGGTAGTTGATGTAGAAATATGCATATAACACGACAGATGAGTTTTTTCTGTCTGATTTTGAAATTTAAATAAATGAAACCATAATGCATTTATTATTATTATTATTATTTATTATTTTGGGGGGTACTGGGGATTGAACTCAGGACCTTGCCCTTGTGATCAGACGCTGGCACCACTGAGCTGAATTCCCAACCCCTGCATTTATTCTTTTGTCTAGCTTCCTTTGCTCTTTTTTTTTCCTTTGCTCTTTTTAGTGACATTTTCCCCATATTTTGTGGTAAATTCTCATTGCTATTTGTTATTCATTGCATAAATATTCCAGATTTCTATTTTAAATGGACATGTAAGTTGTTTTTAGTGTGGGGCTAATCTGACATTCTCGTACCTGCCTTGTATATGAACACATGCACGCACTTCTGTTGGATTCCTGCTTTTTTAAAAAAGTTCTGTATTGATGGGTATACATAAGGTCATATCAGCAGGTATGCTTCTCAAGGTCAGGGCTATATTAATGTTTCATTTATCATGTTATTCTCTGAGCTATTATGAAATATCTATAATAGAAATTCTGTGGGTTAGAAACTGTGAGTGCACTGAGTATGGTGGCACATGCCTGTAATCCCAGCACTTGGGCTACTGAGGTAGAAAAATCACTGCAAGTTCAAGGCCAGCCTGGGCTGCGTAGAGATACCTTGTCTCAACAACGACAACAAAAAAGAAATCGTGAGTGAACAGTCCAGGACACCCAGTGTCTCTGAGTGCTGGACACTACTAGCCATTTTAATATAATTTTTATTTTAAAATATAAATTTTAATTTTTAATACAAATTTTATGAATTTCATAATAATTTGCACCATAGATGTTTTAGTAGATATAATTGTCACCATTCTTTAGGTTGTTCTTGTTTTTCTAGGACCTTGAGGTTCAATATTAGGTTATATGCTTGGACTCACTCTATTTTTCTGATG